AAAAAAAAAGCAGAGCAGTGCCGGCCTAGTGGCTTCAGCGTGCGACTCTCATCCCTGACGTCGTAGGTTCGATCCCCGGCTGTGCACCAATGGACTTTCTTTGTATGTGCGCATTTAACATTAGCTAAGGAAAACATCGTGAGGAAACCGACATGTCTTGGACCCAAAAAGTCGACGGCGTGTGTCAGGCACTGGAGGCTGATCACCTACTTGCCTATTAGATTTAAAAATGATCATGAAACAGATTCAATCTGAGGCCAAGACCTAAAGAGGTTGTAGCGCAACAATTTTTTTTTAGTTTTGTAAAAAAAATCTATCGATTTTGAAGATCTATAATCATAAAAGATATTATCATAATATGATTTTTGGTTTAATATCATTTAAACTTCTGAATGTTCTTTGTCAGGTCGGAAGTACCTGCAGTCTGTGCTTGCACCTGTCAGTCATGCCGTTGCTTGCAGACGCTCTTGTAAGTCTATGTTTATAGTATTTTTATTCATAGCTTGTAAATATACCTATGTATAGGAAACGATGTGATATTCGGGTCTAAAAACGGCGTTTTAAAGTCGCCAACACACGTGAGCTCTATTGCGTATTGTTGATTTAAAGTTAAAAGACGAAACTGTAAACGACTAAGGATATCACAATAACGTTTTATATTTTTTAATAATAAATAGTTATTATAATAAATGCACAAATTCATCCGTAGGACAAGGAACACAACACCTACACACATATATAAGATATAATATCTAGATTTAGGAGTTTTTTTTTAAATTTAAATTGTATTTATTCTCAGCGGAGACATTTTACGTGTGTCAGGAGAGCTAGTCTAAAGTTCAACCCCTATCTTTTTAATGCAATTATTAATATTGTTCTCCCATACGTCTAAAATTTAAAGAAATTTTACCGCATTCTTGATCGATGTGTTTTTCGGTTCTTTCAAATTTAAATATTTTTTTAAATATTGACGTTTATAAGTATAGATAACCTAACAGGCATGCGATCAGGCAGATCTGTGGTCGAGAAGGCAGCAGGTCAAATTTAAGCCTTTTTTTAATAAAGCCTTATTTGCTTAAAAAGCTTAGCTTTCCCGACGGGCCCAGATGACAACTTCTCCGAAAGCATCCTCATAATATTTATGGGTGAGCCGCTGGCCGGCAGGTTATACAGGGTGTCTCAAAAGGAAGTTCATATTTAGTTGAGTGATTTAAAAAAAAGTAAGTCGTGTATCAAAAAAGTGTTTATTCATTATTAAAGTACACGTTTTGGGAATTTATTTCTTAAAAATAACACCGTCCAAATATAGACCCTCGCATTCGCGGCATTTAATCGAACAATAAAATTACTTAGGTATGACGGCTCGGCAGGTGGACTCAGTGATGGCTGCCATTTCGTGACGAATATTTTCTTTCAATTGCGCCAGAGAAATCGGCTTATTTGCGTAGACTTTAGATTTAAGATAGCCCCACAAAAAAATATGCATAGTGGTTAAATCAGGACTGCGTGGAGGCCAATTTACGTCACCTCTCCTGGAGATCAATTTGCCTGAGAAAATTTCACGAACTCGTGGCAAAGACGTATTGGACGTGTGTGACGTTGCTCCGTCCTGCTGGAACCATGTTCCTTGGTTATAGCCAGGAAATTTTTGAAGTTCAGGCACCAAAAAGTCGTCTAACATTTTCACATAACGCTAATTAAATAAATGTAAACTTTCTTTTGAGACACCTGTTATTACTAATGTTTGACTTAGTATACATATTAACCAATATGATTGGTTCGATTTTCTACCATAGTTCTAACAAACGTAGGACATGGAAAAATCAAAAAGGAAAATGGAAACAATGAGTCAACAACGCGTCTATACGCGATGATGCAATGAATCCGCATTCCACAAATTTGCATTTCAAGTACTCTGTAACGTGACATACTTACATGTAACAAATGTATCTTTAAAGTGGGGTAAAAAGGTCCATGGTGGGGCATGGGACAGACGCATTTCATTCCATTCAGGGCAAGGTCGTGTTTTGCTTGTGAAATCAAAAACACCAGTGACGCTGCAGCTCTTGGCTACAGATTCCTGTATCTGTCGTTTTGTAATAGACAAGTTGGTGATCAAGCTTCTATGCCTGACACATGTCAACATTTCAATCTATGTGCCCATTTACACACTCGCTAGTACGGTGAAGGAAAAGATCGCTAGGAAACCACATAAGGCTGAAAAACTAATGTAACAGATACCTACTGAGGCCCAGATCTTTCTTTTTTTATAGTAACTCTGTTTTAAAGTAGTCGTCGTTGTTCGGGTTGAACAAAAACGAAAAATGATATCGCATTACATCACCGTATACGCACAATTTTATAATAAATACGAAAGTGTGTTACGCTTTCACGCCTTTGGTGATTCCCTACTCAAGATTATATGTATTAGCTACTAATTGCTTACGTGGATATGACATAGTACTATCAAAGCCTCCAAAATTCAGAATTATGAATTAATAGGATAGATATATAGATAGATTGAGGCGGTTCCTAGGGTGAGTTCCGAGTCCTAGCGCGAACTATGCCTTCCGTCTAAATCCTTGTTCCTGAATTATAAAAAATAAAAAATAATAATAAATCAGTGGCGCTACAACCCTTTTAGGGTTTGGGCCTCAGATTTCTATTTCATGATCATTTGTGAATCTAATAGGCAAGAAGGATCAGTCTTCTGTGATACAAACGCCGTCGACTTTTTGGGTCTAAGGCAAGCCGGTTTCCTCACGATGTTTTCGCGAGCCAAAGTTAAATGGCACGTAGAAAGAAAGTCTATTGGTGCACAGCAGGGGATGAAACCTCAGGGATGAGAGTCGCACGCTGAAGCCACTAGGCCAACACTGCTTACTGTTTCTGAATTATACCTTGTAGAACTACGACTCGTAGCAATTACGATAGATTTTTGATTAATACGCTTATTAGACAATTAATCTAGACATAATTTAAAAAGCAAATTTTATAAGTATTAAAAGTTGCCATAACGAATGCGTTGAATCATACTAAGAATTAATTTTATTAAAAGAAAAATTAACTGAAGTATTTTTGTTAAAAGATAACAGAGCGAGCCTATTGAAATTTGAAGATAAGAAAAATCAAAGAGTATTAAATTGTATCTTATTATTATGACATTTAGTTTAAATATGTCAAGTGAAGTATGAAGTTCCAATTTCCTTTGACAAAGCGAATTAAAAAGTAAAGGTTTCTTGCCAGTTCTTTTCTCTCTCTCGCTTGCTTACTGGTTAGTGAATCTATTTTTTATTGGATAGCCAAACGCCGCGCATAAACTCTCACATGAGAACTTGCAATTGCGTTGCTGACCTTTAAATTTAGATCTTACATTTGAATATTGTTCATGTTATATGATTAAATAAAATTGATTGTTTAACTTGACGATTCAAAAGTGTACTTGGTTACCCACTTGAATAAAGATATTTTGAGTTTGAGTTTGAGTTTGAAATGTACATATAAGTCTACATATAATTGCTATGTTTTGTTCCATCCTTCGTCTAACTAATTGTATATTTACCGTAAGTTAGCACTTGCGATCACCCAATTTTATTTTCCTTACAGTGTTTGGGGTCGTTCATTTTATTTTTATTACGTGTACGTATTACGTAAGCACTATTGGGGGGAGGGGGGTCTTTGATTTTCTTATTTAGTGATTACGTCAACAGTAATTGTTTACTTTTTTACACATATTACCCACACATTGTCTATGCTTGAAAATGAAATGCATTTTCGAGGATTCCTACAAAAAATTAATACGTTTATGTACCTACTATTATTTTTGAGAGCTTTGCTTACTTTTGCTGTACGTAATACTTTTTACCTTTGCCTTTAATAGATCGCTCCATAAGGTCTGTTTCCCTCCTTATCTATATCTACTGTATTTCTCGCCAAGTGTAAATAAATAAAAAACTACGAATCGAAAAAGTCGAATCGTGATTTACTATATTCTAATAGTACAATAGTGTCATTTGAGACGCCTCCGCCTGATCAATACGTAGAAAATAGAAATGCAATCTGCACTTCTGATGATCGTCAAGTGATATTAATTTCTTAAATGACTGACTGAGTTCGAGAGAAATATTTTATTTGCTTTGGATTTGTTTAATACAAAATATATACCTAATACGTACGACAAGCAGTTTAATTTTGAGCGATTCTCATTTCGGTCGTAGGTTCGAACCCCGACTACACCATGTATTTATTACTCGCTCATATAGAGGAAAACATCGTGAGGAAATCCACGTATTGTAGTGTTTGGACTAGCAAAAATAAGTATATATAGGTAATAAGCAGTACTCATCCGTGAGGTCGTAGGTTCGATGGCTGTGCACCAATGGACTTTCTGTCAATGTGCGCGTCATACAATCGCTCGTACGGGGAAGGAAAAGAAAAAAAAGTCGACGGCGTGACACAGGCTTTTCGCCTATTAGATTGACAAATGATCATGAAACAGATTCAGAAATCTGAGGCCCAGACCTAAAAAGGTTGTAGCACCATTGGTTTATTTATTGCCCGATTAGTAAACGATTTAAGAATGTATTGGAGCCATTTTTAACCGACTTCAAAAATAAGGTTTTGAATAAAAAGTAAAGTCTTCTAAATCATAAAGGAATGGAAATATTCAATATGATTAAGCATCAATCATGATTTTGAATATGTGACGTCACCTGTGGTGACGCATTGTGACGTAGGCGCGCGTAATAGTTCTTTGCCCCATAACCCAACGGTCGGAAAATACCTAGGGGTGTCAAACAGGTATTTTTTTCATCAACAATTTTTTCATTTAAGTGATTTTCGTAAACACAAATCGTAAAGTGATTGTCGTAGTTTAAAATTGTATGTTTAAATTTCGTCAGAAATAATACTGAAAGTATAGAAATGAATGCTAAAAAATTATATTTTAAAGTAATTTGTTTCTTTTATTATTTATACAAATAAAACAGAATATCCGAGCAATGACAAGCGATTTGCGCGATGTTAGTTTCGCGCGTAGTTTTCGTTCAGCGAGTCTAGACTATGACCGCTTTGTCTATAATCTGTGTTCATGTAAGTAAAACTTTAAAATTAAACTACTCTTAGTAGCGATGTTTATGAATAATACATCGAAATTTAGAATAGAATTTAATGATAACTATCCCATTATTTAAAAAAAAACAATATCTATTTCAGCAATTAGGTATTAATTCTTAGCGATTACGTTGTCACATGCAAAATTTATAATTTGAAATTCGAATGTTTCAACATAGGCGATAATGAGGAGTGCAATGGTGACGTCACGGCGTGCGGGTCGCGGGCGCGGGGGGAGGGAGCCGCGCGCCCGTTCATTGTAGTTTTTCGATTATTGTTTAATTAGGGCGAAGCGGCGGCGGAGCGGCGGCCAGAGGACGCCAATTCGCGGCCCGCTTTTCCGATATTTTTTATTATAACGTAGACTATTATTAATTTTGAAATAGGCCACTAGAGTTAGATTTCATTTGATCATAATATATATTATTCTCTGTTACCATACGATACTAAAAATAATCTAATATGCAGAAGTGTTGTTTGTTATAAATACCAATAATAAAACAATGGCGTTTCGCGTACAAAACTAAGTTTAAACATTTACGAATGTCCTAGATACAGACTGGTTCAGTTGGAACAATTCTGTTACCCCAATAAACATGTCTCAGATTTAATAAATTCCAATTGACATATCGGAATTGTATTTGCTACCTAACTCAAATAGACACGTGTCAAATTATATTGAAGTTATCTACATTCATTTGTCTATGGCTGACTGCGATTACTAAAAAGCACTCGAAACGTAAATAAATTCGCGTTTTGTTTAAGAAGTTAATTTAATTTATAGTACTCCCGTAAACTAAAGCTAATAATATACGAAACTTATAATCAACAAACATATTTTGATATATAATTAAACACATTTTTATATACAAATAATGTAAGAATAAAATTGGTGCAAAATTTTCGCGAAAATATAATGCGGTCAGACGGAACATCGGTTGACGACAGCTGGCTCGCTATCTGCGGGCGGCGACCGCCAGGGGCCCGCGGGGTTGGCGGCCGCGGGAAAGAGCGCGTAAAAAGGCGAGCGCCCGACGGGCCTTTCTCGAGGTCGACGCCCGGGGCCCCGAAACCCACGCCCGCACACCATGCACACCCCTAACGAGCCTTCAACATTTCATGGCGTTCCAATTTTAAAATTTTCAGCATTTTACAGTTCTAAATACAAATTTATATAAAATATACTAACTTTTTTACGAATATATTTACGTTGTTTTATCTTGGTGTTCTTATTTTAAAATCTGTTACATATGCCTATTTACGCTTCAGAAAGGGTTTATTTCCGTACATAAAATCCGTTCCACGAATTGACCGCAAAAATAAAATCGGCCCCTAGTTATTCGCGAAAAATGTTTTACGACACGCCCACAGCGTTTCAACGACTGACAATAAAAGGACCATTAATGTTTCACATTTTTGACGTCGAGCTTTGCCCACGGCCTAAATCACATGATTAACGAACGTAGGTATATTTATCGTTGTAATCATTGATGTTTTATAGTTCTTGTATAAACTTTGAATTTGGAATGAACTTAGGTACTTGCTGAAGATTAGAGAATGGACGAGCGCGCTCATCGATAGTATCCGGGCCAATGCCAGTCGTACCTACTAGCAAAGTATTGTCCTCGAATGTTCTGAGCGATAACCGCAAAATGTTAGAAAGAAAATTTCGACTTTATCACCTATGCAATAGGGTTTATTTTTCTGTGCTGCGCATTAGAGGTTGCGCGTGAGATATGTGAAGTCGCGGCATGCGGGTCGCGCGCGTTCTCACGCTTTGAATATTCCTGCTCCCGGGTCCCCCCGCCCCGCTCAGAGGATTTGTCCTCCCGTCTTGTGACGGACCAGGAGAACTGCTATTTCAATTGCATTAGCCACTGTACGTACGTAGTTTAGGCACACGAGAAACATTTCATAATTTGGGTGAACCATTGCTTTCATTCAATATTTTTGAAGTTATACTTCTTTACGCATTAGGGAAAAATTATGAGAGTAAATTTTTACGATGCGCGCGCACACGTCACAAAAAACCGACACCCTGAAGTTAGCTATAGTCAACATTTTATTTTTTTCTGTTGTTAGTGTCGCTTTTTCTACAAAAGTAGAATAAAATTTTGGATAAGATTCTTATCTTGTTACGCCAAAGAAGTGTAACTTCTAACGCGTGTACACACGTCACACACGTTTTTTTTTTATTGAATTGTGTCCTTCACAATTCAAAGCAGTAAGACAATTAACATTAAAAGACCAGGAGCTGGCGAAAATGATGTTAGCGAAGGTATTAAACCATAGAGTAATAATAATATTTGACAGATATAATGCCATCTTGGGTTTTCAGTTTATAGGTATCCATTACTTTTCATTTCAAAGGAAAATATTCTATTTTAAGCCAAACTTAGAATATTCGCTAGGTAGTACTTACTACACACCAATCAAGACTAGAAAAAAATTTAAATATTATATTTATTAAGACTAAATCAATACCTATAGTAGGACTACTAGTGTAATTCTGCCACTATTACTGTGGTGAAAACTACATTAATTACTGTTTTAATAAATAAAATAATAATAAATATCATTTATAGGTTTGGTGATCAACCTGACATAATATGACTTTTGTATGTTTCTTCTTCACCGCGATATTTTCCTTTCGCATTAGTTTTGAGGTCACATTTTCTATACTAGGCAACGCACTCACGAGCCCTCTTGCATTGAGAGTATCAATATAAACTACCATCCGTATCACCTTGACGTCCGCCGTTCCACGACTGAGCGTTTTTCAAGGCAGTTTTTGCCGCGCACCACCACTATATGGAACCAGCTGCCCACTGAAGTATTTCCGAAACAATTCGACTTAGGGTCCTTCAAGAAAAGAGAGTACAAATTCTTGAAATGCCGGCAACGCACTTGCGAGCCTTCTGGCAGTGTGAGTGTCCATGGGCGGCGGTATCACTTAACATCAGGTGAGCATCCTGCCCGTTTGCCTCCTATTACATTAAAAAAAATCCATGGGTGGCTATCACTTAACATCAGATGATCCTCTTGCCCATTTACCCTCGTTCTATAAAAATAAATACTAATAGTCTGTACAGTCCCTTACAACTAAACCATCGCAACGTGCTTCTAGCGTCCAATTTCATACACCTATTGTTTTGACAACTTCGAGTGTACTCCTCCCTCAAAGGCCAGCAACGCACCCACTAAAAATGGGTGTCCATGGGCTGCGATGACTGCCCTTTTTGGGCGTTCCGGCAGGCTCGTTTTCCCCGATATTACATAAAAAAACTACTACACACGCAGATACGGTAGGTATTCCATCTTCTTCTGCCTGCAAGGCTATTACCAAATGTCTTCCGATCCGAATAATTGTGAGCATATATTTCGTTTCGGAACCATAGATGAATTATACAAAAATATGATTTGAATGACATTCTTCTATATACATATATAGATTTTTATGGCAATTTAACTTTATGCCAGTTATATTTAGTTCCGTCAACCGAAGCTTCGTATTTCGTAATAGACCTCATTGTTCAGTAATTTTTTTTATGACCTGCCAGTAAATACTAATAACCATAGACTAGCGCACATAAGTCATCACTTCCTGTTCCCTTATAGTTTCAGTTTCACATGCGCCACTCTCCCACGGTTCATATCATATCCTTGACTTACATACAGTATCGTACCTTTTGGGAGCCGTGAGAACTATTTATTTCATGTGGCAACATATAAAACAAAAGCTGAATGTTGTTTAAACATTTAATAATAATAATAAAGCCCGTTTATTTCCAATCTTTACAAATGTTGAATATATTATGATTTGTTATAAAATAAAAATAAATAAATCCTTCCCACATTCTTTTAGGTCTGTGCCTCAAATTTCTGTATCTGTATCATGATAATTTATCAATCTGCCTGACACACGCTGTAACCTTTTGGCTCTAAGGCAAGTCAGTTTCCTCACGATGTTTTCCTTCACCGTTCGAGCGATTGTTAAATGCCCACATAGAAAGAAAGTTGATTGGTACACTACTGGGGATCGAACCTACGACCTCAAGGATGAGAGTCGCGCGCTGAAACCAATAAACCAACACTGCTAACTTAGAAACTAGATATGTTATAGATTTCTTCTTACTCGATATCATAAATTCCTTCTGTAATTCCATTGATTTTTTGATCCTTTGGTGTTGCGTAGAGATGTGGGGTCACTCTGCATCTTCTACCGCATCGGACGTCGAGGCAGAATACGAAATTCCACCCGTATCACCTCGACGTCCGCCGTTCCACAACTGAGCGTTTTTTAAGGCAGTTTTTGCCGCGCACCAACACTTTGTGGAACCAACTGCCCACTGAAGTATTTCCGAACCAATTCGACTTAGGGTCCTTCAAGAAAAGAGCGTACCAATTCTTAACAGGCCGCCAACGCACTCGCGAGCCCTTTGGCATTGAGAGTGTCCATGGGCGGCGGTATCACTTAACATCAGGTGAGCCTCCTGCCTGTTCTATAAAAAAAAAGGGTGCGTGTACTTATGTACGCGCGTAAGAAGTTATACTTCTTTGGCATTATTAAAAATAGTTTTTGATTGCATGCAAATAATTAATTACAATTAAATAATCAAAGACTGGAAAAGGAGTCATTAAAGTCAATAAAGTTCAGTTTACATTTGAAAAATTAATTAAATAAATATTTATTATTATTCTCTTACATTAAACAAATAAAACACTATTTATCTTTAAAACATTTTTATTTCATTATACTATTTATTTTTAAGTGACTCTAATGTCTTCATCAGAATTTCGGTTTGTAATTTTAAATTAATCATTACTTGGTTGTGCATCTACGAGGCTTCTCCAAAACTACTTGCTTTCTGCAACAAATAAGAGAATATTAATTTAAGCTCTGTCCATGCAAAACTTAAAATTTTTTATAATTCATATTATAAATTTTTAATTTGTAGCACATGCTACAGACCTGGATAGCAACTTTCTTTTATTCTATTTAGAGATAGAGATAATTTAAATATAATACCGGTGTCTTCCTTGTAGGTTTCTTTGGAGTTGTTTGGGGATTCTTGTTGTTCAGTTCGACATGATTTTCTTTAACCTTTCTTTAATCCTACAAAATAATGAAATTGTTAAGTTATGTTGTCACTGTTGTGCACACCTTTGTTTGGCTTTTTTAGTATTCAAGTTATGTCAAAACTGATTTATTACCTTGTCATTGTTGGCTTTATTTGCTTTTGGGATATCAGTTGTTTCCAAAATGATTTTATTTGTAATAACCTGAAATATATAAATAACATCTATTAATTTAAGTATCATGGTGAGTGGTTCGCACTCAGGTATTAAGGTGTATTATACCCACTGTCCATTATAAGTGGGAATGGGCTCACTTCTGGCAGGACAGAGTTTCGGTACTACAAGTGCAACATGGATGTTTTGAGGTATTACAATATCTCTAACTACCCTGTAGGGGAATAAAGTAATGTTGTAAGCATATGCCTATGCTTGAAAGGTTGAACCTTGAACATCACCATACATCATATTTATAATTAACATTCCTACCTCGACACCATCACAATCAAATTCATTGAAATCTACTTCAAACCATTGTGTCTCGAGAAGGTGATGGTGGCTTTGTTCCACCTCCAGTTTTTGATGTTTCACGGCGATAAGATGACAACTCTTTTATTGTATTCAATTTAGTGCACTTCCACTGATTCATCAATTGTTTTTTGTCTCTTGTCCTTATATTTGCTAGATTAAATCTGATGTTTTGATTAAATAATGTGGTCATTTTTTTGAGATGCAGGTACTTATTAAAATGTTTACTTCTCTGTTATATCGCTCCAAGCCTTCATTTTCTCCTTATTAGTATTCGTGCTTAAATCTTTGTTCTCAATTATTGATATATAGGGTCGTAGAATATTTCTAAAAAGTTGCTGTAACAAACGCAATAAACAAAAGCAATGAATAATGGTTCATGTTTCAGTTTTAATCAACAATAATACTCCATAATACATACGGATAGTTAACCTCAATTGTATTGAAGCACTCAGGAAGGTTAGCACAGTTTTTTCACAAATATTTTATATTATTTCA